ATTGAATAGTTTTTGAGTTATCGTGTACACCGTCTCGAAAATTGTGGTTTCGAGAAAAACGCAAAAGAAGAAAAAAATGAACTTTAGTGTATTATAACTTGAAAATTTTTCAATTTACTATTTAATCAGCAATTCCTGGGCCATAATTTTTTTTATTTAAGAATGGAAGGGATACAATGAAAAGGACCCTTCCTAAATCATGAAAGGGCCCCCTAGACCATTCGAAAATAGAAAGTCGCTGCTTCCAGCAGCTCTCGGCGCGTCCCCACCGCGCTGACTTCTAATGACCATAACTTTTGTAATTAGTGGGACATTGTCTTCGGCGACATCTCAAAATATTCGTTAGAATATAAACTTTGAAATTAAGCAAAAAAAAAAAATAAATTTTTTTGAAAATTTCAGGGTGGCGTAACCCCTTAAAGTTTTTAAAAATAATTGAATTCTTTTGAGAAACTTAATTAAAATTGTATGGATTGAAAATTATTGAATTCCTGACAAGAAGTTTATTATTTTTATGAAAATAATTGAATTTTTGAAAAGAGTTCCATATTAAAATTTTGAAAAATAATAAATTCAATTTTTACGAAGAATTTCTTTAAAACTTTTGTAAATAATTGAATTTTTGCTAAAGAACAATTCACAAAATCGAGAGACTCATTTTTAATATCAATATTATTGTTATTTAAAAATACCTCTCACGCTTTATAGAGTTAAATCCTTTTCAAAAATGCCGATTCTATTAAATTGTACAATTAAAATTGTAAATCCCTATAAATTTATTATAATCAAGAATCTCATAAGTTCCCTAAGATTATTATCTTAATTTCACACCTGTCGGATAATTAATAATAATTAATCAACGATTCGTAATTACAGTTAATTTAGTATCTTCGCATTAAATAAGTAAGTACGTGAAATAATTTCTAGTCTGATGTTAGTTTTTGATATAAATATCTATTTATATAACATAAGATAATAATCATTAACTGAAATTCTTTTTTTATCATGAAAATGTCTGTTACATCTTCCAAGGACTAATCAGCTTCATAAATTTTTATTTTAAAAACTTCTTTCCTGCTTTGCATAATATATTAACATTATAATTCACTAATTTAATGGATTCAAAAAAAAAAAATTCTAAAAAAAATTCTAATTACTAGTTTATTGGAAAATTTTAATTAAATATTTATTACATTATAAAGGAGATGAATTTATATTTTCTGTAATCATTTGACTTTCATTTTTTAACTCATCTTTAACTCAACTTCATCACTTTAAATTGATGAGTGTCATTTCACTTTCACTCTCCACTATACTATACCTATCAATGAAAACGCATTCTTTTTTACAATTTGATTTAAAAATTTTATTTTATTTTATTTTATTTTTACTTTTTATTCTATTTAATTTCATTTTTTATTTTATTTATTTTTATTTTTATTTGATTTCAAATTTTTTAAATTAGTTTTTAAATAACATCAAATTTTGATGATCTAGGAAAAAGGAGAAAGAAAAAAGTTGACTTAGGTATTATTATGAGCTAATAAATAAATTAATATCGCTCCATAATTTTATTCATAAAAAAAATATCAATCTTCTTCTATTATCTAATGTGCGCGCACTTATTTTTTTGCTCAAGGATTGAGCATCAATTTTTTTTTTCATGAGCAATGAAAAAGTATGTAAAAGATTATTCTAAAAATAATCCATTAAAAAAAAAATGTTAATTGTAGGAAATAAGATTTATATCCTGTGTCAGACAATGTTTCAATCTAATATTGCGAAAGTGATGAAAACTTAATTATAATCATTATTCTTCAATTTGTATTAGCGTTATTTATTTTTAATATTAAAATAACTTCCGTATTTTGTATATAGCGGCAAAAAAAACTGTTATGTCATTGAAAACGAGACAAGGGGGCAGAGATTGTTTATTACATTGCGACAGCTGTTTAAATAAATTGAAAGTTAATTTACAAAATTAAGTAGGTCATTCACTTGTTTTATTTTGTTTCAGGTACTCTTTTTTGTAAAAGGAAATAATTTTTTTTATCATTTTTTATTTATTATTTTTTTATTATTATTATTATTATTATTATTTATTTATAAACGGGACAAGCCCTTTAGTACAAATAGTATTTCTTATTATTATTTATTTTATTTTTTTAAACAAATACATTATTTTAATTTTTAATTATTATTATTATTTATTTCCTTTTTTTGTAAAAAGAAATAATAAGTTTAATTTTTACTGTCTAGTTAGTAAAAAAAAAATTGAATTGTCATTTTCTGGACAATTTACTTGGAAATGTTTTGTCCCCATTGGGCCATTGTAAAACAATGACTTTGAAAGTTAAAGAAACTGAAGGTGAAAGTGATACATAAAACAATGGCACAATTAGTAAAGAATTTGATTTGTTTTTGAATTAAGATCTCACTTTCATGGAGAAATCGCTCAAAATTTTGCTCCAGTTATAGATTCTATATATAGTAGGTTGAAAAAAAAATTTGTTTGATTCGCAAATATCCGATTACTTATTTATTGTTAAATAAATATTTTCTTAAATCAAATAAATTTTATTTAAACAAATTATTTTTTGTATTCGAAACAATATAATTTCTGTGTTTGAGACAATAATTTCTGTATTCGAAACAATAATTTCTGCATTCGAAACAATGATTTCTGTATTCAAAACAATAATTTCAGAATTTCTGTGTTTGAAACAATAATTTCTATGTTCCAAACAATAATTTCAGTATTTGAAGCAAATTTTTATTGATTGAAGCGAATGACTTAATTTAAATAAAAGATTATTTTATTGAAGTATGTAAATATTTAAGTGGTATTTTTGCCTTTTTAGGTAACTTCATTAAAAATCCGAAAATGGTCAATAAATTTTCTTTAAGTTTATGAAATTTTTGTATCTTTAGATGTAAAAAATATTTAGGGTTTAACAAAAAAGTCCGTCATCTTAAATTCATTATTTATTTTATTATTATTATTTACATCATTATTTACAATTTGGACAGCATAAAGTTCTGATAACATATGTTCAGAAATCGAGGTTCTACTGTACTTTCAGTGATAAATGTCTGTTATTTGAAGACTTAATTAAAAAAAGCCAAATTAAAATAATTAGAATTCGGGTAAAAAATTACTGGTAAATTTAATCATAACTTCTTGTTACAAAATGCTAGAATTTTTTTAGCAAAAAAACTTCTGGTTATTGTTTAAAATACAGTAAAAAAAATCTCGTTTACTTCGAACCTCTGTTATCCGAACTGTAAATCCAAATTTTCAGTTTTTACGTTAAAAATTTTGAAAATAAAGGAATTTTAATTGGTTCTCTAAGTTTCTGAAATTAGCGTCGACGCTGATTTTGTCTCTAAAAACCTCAAATCTTTGTCACAATTGAGTTTTCGACTCAATAGTGTGTAAAATAACTGCAAAAAAAATCATTTATCCATAATCATTAATGAAATATTTGTAACTTCTATTATCTGAACTTTTTTATCAAAAGCATGTTCTGCCTGAATTAATTTGGGTAATTAAATTGATACCAAAAATTTGGATAAATTTATGATTTAATGGAATCAATTTGATTCATTCTGGTATCAGTTTGATAATTTATAACAGTGATCGTAATATTGTATAATAATATAATTAATTTTAATTAAGTACTTAAGGTACTAAAGGTCCTGTACCGTTAATATTTAAATAAGTAATTGTTAATGATGATGGAAAATAGTAGATGGTGATGATGATGATAGTAACAATAGAGATTTCCGTCAAAGAATTGATAATTAATTAAATTCAAGTTAACAGTGATCGTAATTTTTGTATAATAATATAATTCATTGTAATTAAGTTCTTAAGGTACGAAAGGTCCTGTACCGTTAATATTTAAATAAATAACTAATTGTTAATGATGATGGAAAATAGCAGATGATGATGATACTAACAATAAAGATTTCCGTCAAAGAATTGATAATTAATCAATAAAAAGTTTTTCAGAATAAGATTTGTTTGGAGGAATGTTTTATCTTTACTGAAATGAAAAAAAAAAAAAAAAAAAAAAAAAAAAAGACCATTTGAGAAATGGGAGAAGAAATAAAAAAATGCATTGAAAGAAAAAGAAGCAAAAAATAAAAGCGATAATTGGAGGGCAGCTGCTGCGTGTTTTTGAATTAGCCACAGGTAAATCGTTGGACCGTGTAACGCACTTAATTTTGTTGGAATTGGTATTCCCAGTATGAGCATTAGAATCCCAGAGAATAAAGTGGAGTACAGAGTCAAGGCCAGAGAATAAGACAGAGTAGGCGAGAAAGAAACGACCCTGTTTTGATGAAAATGAAACCACTCTTCCCTCACTTGTCCCACGTTTAATAAGTCACATACTCATATCTATTTTTTACATTTCAATTCATTCGAATTAGTAATGCATTGTTTTTTTTAATGTTTTTTTGATCATATTTTTTTACTCTAAAAGATCTAAAATATCTAAGATATCTAAAATTAAGAAGTGTTAATTGATCATTAAATTCTCGATTTAGTATTTGGATTTATGGTTTAATTTTAACCGCAGGTGTTATTTTTTTCCGTTTCTTTTTGTCGAAACATATTTACATCTCTGGTAAATGTAACCTTGGAGATAGAAATGTTTCGAAACTGTTCTAAAAATGGAATAATAACAGATTTTTGGTCAATGGTGTCCTTCTATTGCTCTGAAGGATGCAACTATAAACATAAAATAATTGTGACTTTTGACAAAAAATTATAGTGTCTTTTAAACCAATTATTTTTTACGTAATAACATTCAATGCGAAAGGGGAAATTATATTATTAGTAGCATATGTAATTAAATCCTTATTCGAGTATCCTTTCAATAATTGCTTTAAGGAAACGGAAATATTTTTCTGAAAAGGTTCTTGGTTCATTATTTTAGAATTGGACAAAGCAAAAGAAAAATATCTCTTTTGGATTGAATTGAAATACTCACCATACATTGGTCCAACGATGACCATAACAACAACCATGAGAACTGCTACTCTTTGTTGTCGATTATTTTCTCCCTTCTTGAAGGCCACTTTGAAAGTATTTGAAATGTGCTTGAGTGAAAAGAAATGAAGAGTTGAAGCACAAGCGGATTTCTTGATTTCTTGATCCTTTTTGTCCTGTGCCAAGGCCGGTCTTGGTGCCTCTTTGATAACAACCAGACCATAAATGAAGCTAAGTACATAGCACACAGTGGAAATTGCGAATACACCATAGAAACCAATTTTCATGTAGAGAATTCCTGAGAGTGCCATCCCCACTGGCACACCCAACGATAGAAAAACATTCACGAAACCAATTCTCAATGTTCTTGATTCAACGCTGGTGATGTCTGCAATATAACTGAAGACAGCCATGAACATCGTGAACCACCCTCCGGTAACGGCTGGCCATAAAGCCTCCGATAGACCCGCAAACTCCATTGGCAATTCATAAAACCAATATGTACACGCGATTAAACTGATGCTGGTTAGAAACTCCCCGACAATTGGAAGTAACATACAAGGTTTCCTCAGTCCAGTTCTGTCACTCCAGGCGCCTAGGAAGAGAATTAAAATCGTTGGCAATGCACTTTGCAGTGCAGTCTTCCATGTCTGCATCCCGGCTACTAATTGCTGTACAGCTTTTTCCTCCTCAATATATCCTGATGTGTTTCTCACTGCAAGTGCATCACAGACTTGATCCGAATAAGCTAAATTTACTCTACAGGCTTTTTCTAGATTTAGATTTTGAGTTGCCAACGATGCCAGGACACTTGGCATGATATAGCAGGCAACCATCGGCTCCACCGTGATGTTGCTGGTGAAGAAATTCCACTTTTGTTTTATGCTCATAGTCTTCCAGGTGACAACTTCCTTTTCCTTGGAGTTCTCCCTCGAAAGAGTGCAAACCGGTGGTGCGAGTGCCCCGGGTGTTGCTGCATTGCTCATTTTGATAGTGTCGGTTTGGAACAGAATCAGAAAAACCGTCTTAAAAACCCTTGTAGGGTTTTGCTAGATCTTCAGGTCCTGGAGCTCATTAAGATCGTAAATCTTTTTTCTTGGGGGGGTGTTAAGAAGTTGAAGGATTCAAAGCTGTTTCAAAAGGAGTAAAAGATGAAAAGGTTCCTTTCTTCTTTCATACAGCAACCGTTGCGGTTCCTTTTTGAAAATTTTGACTAAGTTTTAGAATATAACGATCCAACTGAAGTGGGTTGAAACAGTGGTGGTAATCCAAATTTCGCATAACAAGAGAAATTTTGTTGGGGGCAAAAAAGATGTCATTCAGTTATCAACATTGAAATTAAGTAAAGAGTAAGGAGTGAATAGTAAACAGTAAAGATTAAAGATTAAATATTAAAGATTAAAGATTAAAGAATGTAGAGTAAAAAGTAAAAAGTTTAAAACTAAAGAGTAAATAGTAAAGATTAAATATTAAAGAGTAGATAGTAAAGATTAAAGAGTAAAGAGTAAAGACTTTTTTTTGGAATAGTAGAATGGGAATGTCAGAAAAGAATGGACTTTTGGGTGACGTGGTGTGAATGTAGTCACTGAAGCACTACTGGACACTACCGGCACGATATTGGTAGCTGTTGAGATGGCCCGGTTGGACTGATTGCGATTCTACCTCTGCTCCTGACTAATGCTGTATTGTGCTTTGCAATATGCTACTCCTTCCCTCTCATTGCGTTGAACCACCTTCTCTTTAGCATTGCTCTTCCTCCATCGCATCGTCTCTTGCTCTGCATTCCCCCCACTATGAGAATCGAGGGAATAGGTCTAAATACTGGAACATGTTACAGTGACCTACGTATAAGGTGTAGGCATAAGGTCGTCGGACCTTCGACTCATCCGGGTTTCATGACAAGGCGAGTTTTACTCATTCACGTCATGTGACACTCTTCACCTAATCCATCATCATCATCATCTTCCTTCCTTCCTTCCTTGAATTTTTCAAACGCGATTTCCTACATGAGCGCCCTTAACTTTAGGAATAATTAACAATTGTTTATATGTCATTATTCGCATTAATATTAAAGTCTCCATTTTCTCGGAATAGGGACTTAAAATTAAATAATTGATTTGTACCAAGTTTTATTGATTGTAACCATTACAATTTTTGATGGAAAAAAATTCTTTATAAAAAATATTCCAGTTTACTGGAAAAACTCTTTCTTTATAAAAAAAAAATATTCCAGTTTACTGGAAAAACTCTTTCTTTATAAAAAAAAGAAATTTCAGTAAGTGGATTAGAAATTTTAGTAGTAGTAGTATAAAAAATAAAAGAGCTGTTAGCTTATTAAACTGATGTTTGTTATCAAATCTATTTTCATCTGACAAAGTTTGCTAAAAATTCGCTGTAGGTACAGCAAATATTTTATCTGCGTAAAGAAAATCCCCAAACCTGACGAAAAAATTGATCATAAATTTATACATCGAAGAAATTGCATTTAACTAAATTTTCTGATTACTTGTTTTGTTGAAAGTCACCAAAAATTGTAGGAAAATAATATTTTCACAATCTATAGAATCTTGCTGGAATAATTACATAATTCTAATATTCCACATGACTTCCCATGTTATTTTAACATGAATTCTAGTTAATATTTAGTTATAATAATTCCAATTTATCTTATCTATTTTCTCCCACTTTATATTCCCTACTTTTATTGATTAACAACAATTATTTACTATTAGATTATTATTGTAATTTATTAATATTAATCATTTTTAAGAAAACTATTTTTTAGCATCATCATACTTATGTACTCTATTTGCTTTCATTTCGTTTGTGAGAGAACTTTCATGACATCTAGGCGGCAATTTAGTAAACTGTTTTGGCGCGAAATTCAAAATAAGAAAAACTTGATGAATAATATTTTGATATTAATAATAAATAATTAACTAACACCTTAAAAAAAATAATTCTGTTAACTCTCTAAATTTTTCTCTATTTTTTCTCTCTTTTTTACTTTAAATATTTTTTACACTGTAAATATTTATTACTCAATATTTTTTTACTCTCTTAATATTTTTAAATCTCTATATTGTTTACTGTCTATCTTTTAATAATATGTTTTTACGCTCTATTTTTTACCTTAAAATTTCTGCTAGCAATATTTATCTTAATATTTAACTTTATTATTGACTAAAATAATTGAATATTTTGAAAATAATGAAGTTTCATTAATAATTTTAATTGGAAATTTTCAAAATACTTGAATTTAATTAAAAATTTCTTTCAAGTTTTTAAAATAAGGGAGCGTTCACAAATGATGTCACGTTTTTTGGAGTAGGGGGGGGGTCTCTCCTAAACGTGACACAATGTATTTTTACATGTAAAATTGCATGAAATTGCGAGACAGGGGGGAGGGGCGTCTAAAATCCCGAAAAATTGCATGACATCATTTGTGAACGCTCCCTAATCGTATTTTTTTAATAATTGAAACTAAACATTTAATTATGGAATTTTATTAAAATTTTTAAAAAATGATTAAATTCCTCTCAGAATTTTAGTACAATTTTTTTAAATAATTTAATTGATTTAAAGAAGTTTACTAAAATATTAAAAATAATTAAATTCATTTGAAGAATATAGATATTTAAATTCTTTTAAACAATTTTATTAGAGTTTTTCTAAATAATTAAATTCTTTTGAAGGATTTAATTAAGTTTTTTGAAAGTAATGTAGTTTTTTAATAATTTTAATTGAAAAGTTTGAAAATAATTAAAATTAATCAAAAATTTTTCTTCAACTTTTTAAAATAACCGTGTCTGTTAATAATTATAATTACACATTTGATTATTGAATTTTATTGAGAATGTATTGAAAATATATGAATCCCTAAGAAGAATTATAAAATTTTTGAATATAAATTAAATTTCTGCGAAAAATTTTATTACTTTTGAAAATAATTGAATTTCTACAATAATTTTTAACTTCTCCAAAATTCAATTGTTTTTAGTATTTTTAACTTAAATTCTTCTATAAATCCATTATTTTTAATAATTTAAAAAAAATTTCTTTGAGAATTTTCAAATTTATTTGTTTATAATTCAATTTTTGCAAAATTTCGATTATTTGGAAATTCTTCAATTAAATATATATGAGAAAATAAAAACTTGAAATAATTTTAAAAAAAATTCAATTATACTTTTTCAAAAGAATTAATTCTACAGAATTGTTAGTTAAAAATTTGAAAAATTCCAATTTTTAAAGATTTTCATATTTGAAACCATTTTCAAAATTCAATTATTTATAAAATTTTAACTGAAATTCATTTTTAAATCAATTTTTAATAGAAAATTCGACGAGAGAATTGAATTATTTAAATACAAAACTAAATAATTAAATGTTTCTTAAAATTTAATTCTTTTGGAAAATTTTAGTAAAATAGTAGATATTGAAAATCATTGAATTGAGGAAAATTTTTGAAAATAATTAAAATCATTGAAATTTTGCCAAGAATTGTATTAAAATTTTTGAAAATAATTAAATTTCAGGGAAGAATTTTATTATATATATAAAGATAATTGAAATGATGAGAATTTTTTTTTCTAATTTTTTACCATAATTGAATTTTGGCGAAGAATTTTATTAATTTTGAAAATAATTGAATTTCTGCAATCATTTGAAATTCCTCTGAAATTCTCCAAATTATATCGCACAATTTACAAACTTTTTGTCCTTTTTTAATCTATAGGACTTTACGGACCTTTTTTCAAAAAACTGACTTTTACGGATTTGAGGCAAATTTACGGACCTTTATTGAATTTACAGACTTAGTTCGAGCCCTAACTATACAATTCTTTGGATTTTTTTTTAGCGCGAAAGTCAGCAGAAAGAAAAATTTAAAATTCAACTTTTTTCAAGTGATGAATAAAATTTCAGTTTCTTATACTTTGAAAAGTGAAAAGAATCAAATTTTTTGTTTTTTTATTTAAGAATATTATTTTTCGATAATTGATTCAAGAATAATATTTAAAGCATATTATAGGTAACTATAAAATTAATGTTTGCTACTATTGACTGAAATTATTACTGTTATTACTGTCTTTTATAAGCTACTATCTATTTCAATTATCATTAATTTTGTATAGTACTATAAACTGCAGCACACGGTCGATATAGTTGAAAATAAAATAATTACCACAATTTTTTTTTAATAATCATTATTTATAATTTGATTCATTTTACTGTGAAGACTGACAAGTTTATAGATTATAACACGTGAGAAATAAGATCGGAAATGTAAGTGGAGAAGATCGGCACACGCTATATGAGGCCAACTTTCTATTTCATTTGATAGCCACTACACTAGACGTTTTATTGCCCAGCAGTAAGATTATTATTGCTTTTTTACTCGTTTTTCCAAGACTTTCGCTGAATTGGGAAAAATTTCTACAAGTGGGTTACATGGGCTTTTCTTTTTTTTATTTCCTAAAAGATAAAATTGATGATTAATAATAATATGATCGATGATTAATGATTAATGAATAATGTATAATTGATAAAATAATTGATTACCATAAAATAATTTAGAAATGATTTACAAATGAATAAATGATTTAGAAATTATTTAAGAATAATTTCTTTATTGGCAAAATATATGATACAGATTTGGAGAATGATTTCAAAATATTGCTATGATTTTAAATATTTTAATGTACCCATTATAATGAGAAATGAATTTTTCATGTTTCATAATGACAATTGTGCGACAAAAATGATTTTATGACAAAAATATTACTAATGATCCGCTTTATTACTTATTGTATATCTAAAGGAATAATTTCGAGTGACTTTTTATTGATAATTAAGATAACATTTTGAAACATATTTCATGTCAAAACATAGGAAATAGACGATTTTCGGATTCCTTCAATTGTTTCTTTGAATCCATTTAGAATTGCATTCATAATGTGCATGAAATTTAATGGAAATTTTAATGAATGAAAAATGATTCATGTGTGCATGAAATTGTTCAAAAAACATTATTAATAGAAATAATAAAACCTTGAATAATGGGTAAAAGTGGAACACATAAGTTTTTTAAAAAGCACCTGTGTTTTTTTTATTTTGTTTGCATTTCTCGTCTTGAAAATTTTGTGCAGTGTATTTTAATGGGTAATTGTAATTCTAAATTAGTATTAAATGACCTCCAAAGACCTCTTTCAGTTGGAGATTGATATTATTTTATAGATTTCAATAATATATGAAATGAATAAATTTTTTATTATTTTTTTTTCGTCTTTGAAATATATTTTTTATATTTTTGTATTTTCTAAGAATCTAAGATAATAAGGTTCTCACATTTTCCCACTTTATTTTCTCTAATTTTATTCTTTAATTTTTCTCAACGCCATAATACGTGTACTCTATTTGCTTCAATTCGTTTGTGAGAGAACTTTCATGCCATCTAGGCGGCAATTTAGTAAACAGTTTTGGCGCGAAATTCAAAATAGGAAAAAACTTGATAAATAATATTTTAATATTAACAAGAAATAATTAACGTCTATAAAAAAATAATTCTGTAAACAATCTAAATATATTTTGGTCTCGATTTTTTTAACTCTCCTATTTTTCCTTAAAATATTTTCAACTCTCTAAATATTTATCACTAAAAATTTTTTAATGCATAAAAATTCATTGTATATTATTTTTTTCTATTTAAATATTATTTAATATGT